TAACGAGCAAGAACAATAAAAGAACAGAAATTAATAAGACAAGAGATTGCATTTCCATTTTTGAAGATCAAAGTTGACTGGGAAAGCAAGAAGGCGGAAAAGAGTTCCACAAGCGAAAAATGCAAGAGAAGAAACTGTAACTTAGTTACATCTCGCCATGTCTACTGTAAGATTTTGCCACCAATCTAGTACTGCGCTTATAAATTCATAAAGTTTAGGTACCAAAGATGAAAGTTTATCAGAACTGTTATACATAAATAAAATGTCGCCGCCGACACTGGAGTTTGAACATATATCACCAAAGAGCAAACACAGGCGATCCCATTTTGAATAAGTAGATCACGTGATGGTAAAGGAAATGTGTATATAAGAATTAGCGTGGCGTCTAAGTGATTGCTATCCGGATTACTTCGGAAATGTGCTGGTCAAACTCTCTGACTTCGCGTGGAGAGGATCCCCAGACGAGGCTCTGTCGAAGGACAGTGTCTCGTCTCGGGAGACAGCTACCCGAACCCATTTTTGGCCGAGCCTACGGACTCGGATACCCCACAAAAAAACTCAGCCTTGTGCCACATCCGACCGTGTGGGGCGGTTAGTGAATATCATCACTTTATGGATTACTATTCGGATCACTATTCGGTGGTTACTATTCGAGCGAGTATTATCGATCAATTACTATTAGCACGAGTGTTATTCGAAGGCGTCTGACACCAGTATTGTTCAACGGCGTTACTAGAGTTGTATCTACGATTACAAAGTCTCTACTACAACGAGCATTTCGAAAGTGACAACGAGTATTCGTTGACATTACAAAAAGTGGCAGCGAGTGTTCGTTGACATCCCAAAAAGAACAATTACCATGAAACTACATTATGACTTTAATTTCTGGCCATAAATAAATTGATAAAATCAAAATAACTTAAAATATGACAATGCTTTGGCCTTTGTTTGATCGAATGGAAAGCAAATCATTTAAACATATTAAACGGTCAGAAATAGGACTCTCAGTATTCTATATCGTGGGATATATTCCTGGTCAAAGAAAAAGGGATGATTCAGATGGACAGACAACATACATAGTTGATCAAAGATCGATATGTTGCATAGCCCCCTCGTTCTGGGGAGGTTTTGGTTGACAGGGTTGATTCCATAATGTTGTATCTTCTCTCACTCGTCTTCTCACATTTCGGGTATCAACAAAAGGGATTTTAAACTTATCTATTTTATTAGACACGTCAACGTGTGCATTTTTAACTAGACAGTGGGATCGCTCTATTACCCCCCCCCACTGGGAAGCAAGTTCCTCGAGACACGAAATAACCACATCTTCTGTGTACGACGTATAAAAACTTAACTCCCTGAAATCACTTTCTATCTCTCTAACATTTCCACGCTAGTTTTAACCAATCAAAAACAACCTCCTTTGTTTTCCTGTATCTGACCGCAAAGGTCAAAACAAGGAAGTCAGAGAAAAATACAATTCTTTAAAAATAATAAGTCTGCTAGACTCATTTAACAGATAGTTGGTTGCACTGGATCGAAGCAATTCACGTTAGCTCGTTCGCAATTTGCTATTGGCGGAATTGTGACGTAACATGTGAAGATATGATAGTAAGGACGTCATATCTGCTGTTACTTTTGAAGGCATTTGCAAACGAGTTGTAAAGTAAAAAGAACATTGACTGAAAACGATGGTTATTGTGATATCAGATATCGTACAATATGTTAAACCTGACGTAGAAAAAAGAATTTTGGTATTCAAAAAACATGATCTCAAATATCCCGTCTTTCTTCATTTCTTTGGAAAGAGTAAACATTCGAAAATTGCCAAGAAGATTTAAGCAAGGTTTTGCAAAAAGCAAAATGTCTGAATTCAGGTATAGAGACTTAACAATGTTTCACTTTAAAATCAACTGGAAAACACGGACTTGTACACGAGTATACTAGACCTTGTCAAGATTTATATTTGATTTTGTTTAGCGGCGTAACAATATCTATAGTTTATTTAATACCGAAATTTAAATGTTTTGTACGCAGTTTCACTTTTTTTTGTTTTGATTTTTAGTAACAAGTCTTACTAATTAACCCATAGCTTGGGGGAGAAGAGGTGGATTCATACATTTCCCAACGGCATTTGCTCGTAAGTGAAGATAATTAATCCGACCGGAATTGGAACTCGGCTCTCTAATTAACAATTCCGAGCCATTATCCATTACACCACCCGTTTATCAAAGGTTACTGCACTTTGTATTCCCAAGCAGTCACCTATCTAGGTAATGATCAGGCTCTACGTTGCTTAACTTTGGTGATCGTACGGGAACCGATGTTTCAATGTGATGCGACCCGTAAGCAAGATTGATAAGGGGATTAACTGCATTTCTAAAACTAGTTTGTTTTTTTGTTTTTTTACTTATGAGGCGGTAGTTGTGGAAGTGTAATTTGTAATCGGGTAATCTGTCCCTATCTTTTCCGTCAGATAATGTGACATGTTTGCGACAAGGGATTTGAAGGTACAGGTCGCTTTCTGAAAGTCACAACTCCGTCTTTATTACGCCGGTCCACGACATTAATAGCAGTTGATCGTAGAGATTAAACTTTCGCACCATATACAGTGGGAGGAAACAAATACTCGTACGCGTACAAATTTTTAATTTATTGTATTTCCAACTAATGTATAAACACACTTTTCATATAATTAACTGTACACAGATGCATGATAAATAAATATGCATAGCTGAAAAAAATTTGATTTCATAGAAATAAATCCTATTTATCCATTCTAATGGGTGAAAAAAGTATTCGTACAATACAAAAAAGAATATATAATCTTCATTTAATACTTTGTAGAACAGCCATTATTCACTTCTACAGAAACCAACCTTTTTTTTTTGTAGTTCTTAATAATTTGCAAATTTTAGTTGCTATTTTGTTCCATTCTTCTTCGCATGTGGTCCTCAGATCCCGGATATTTGTTGGATATTTGTTGGAGATCTCGATTGGATTTGAATTTTCAAATAACGCCACAGATTCTCGATTGGGTTTAAATCTGGGGACTAAGTTGCCATTTCAGGATATTTACATTATTTTCACTAACATTATTTTCGAGACTTTAAATTGTTCCTATGAATTTCATTACTTATTGTCAGTTTACATTATTTTCAGCAAACCATTTCTTCGTAGATTTTGCAATGTTCTCAGGATCATTATCTTGTTGGAAGATCTAAATCGGGAGGAAGTTCAAAATTTTCAATCGAAATCATTAAATTTGCTCCCAAAATATTTTGATATGCTGCAGCATTCATTCTACTAACTATTACTGATATGTTGCCAGTACCTCTTGCAGAAAAACATCCCCAGACCATGATGTTCCACCATCAAAATTCGCTGTTGGAACTGTGTTCTTTTGATTGAAGACATCACCATCTTTCCTCCATACATGATTTCTAGAATTATGTCCAAACAACTCAATTTTGGCTTCGTCTGCTCATAACACTTTTTCCCAGTACGATTTTTCCTTATTCTTATGTTCACGAACGAATTTCAACCTGGCATCTCTCTGTGTTTTCAATAGCAGTGGCGTTTTCCGAGGGGAGAATGACTTTAGATTGTTCCTATGATTTTCATTGCTTATTGTTTGTTTAGTGACACAGATTCCTGATGAAAGCAAATCATCCTGCAACTCTTGACGAGTAACCATTGGTTTTTGCTTAATTTGACGCATTAATTTCCTTGAAGATCTTGAAGAAATCTTCCGTGGAACACCTTCTCTGATTTTGAGTTTTGAGTTTGTTATACTTTGCAATGAATGATCTAATGGTAGTAAATGAAATATTCACATTGTCTGAGATTTTCCTGTAACTTCTACCTTCTTTCCTGAGCTTAACAATCAGTTCTTTTTGCGAATTTGTCAATTGTTTACCTCTTGTTATGATGGCAACGTTCTTGCACGAATATCAATTACAAAATGTTCTGTTTGTATTTTTTAGGCTAAAAAGGGCTACTGATAACATTATTAGGGCATTCTAGAATATTCCACCGGAATAATTTAGAGTATTAAACAATTTAATAATTTTATAATCTGAAATTTGCATTGTACGAGTACTTTTTTCACCCATTCATATTGGTGCCATTTGCTCGTGTGTCTGTGGCGCGATCACGTTCAAACGAGAAGGTTCACTGATGTCATTTTTGGTATAATGATTCACAATATATTTGTTTGTGACATAGATTATGGGAAATTGACCTCCCCTGACATAATTTGAGGTTTGACATTTCTAGTCAAATTATTTCTAATGCAATGGATGAAATTTCAAGTTTTTCTGTTGGCATAAAATCTAACAAGGCTCACACTTCTGTCCAGATGCCACTCTAAGCTAAATTTAATAAGTTTTGGGAAGTGTTTTAACAAATAGGCGAAAATGTGCCACCGAGATCTGAAGGCGCATTGGAATAGTAAAAGATGTCTTCCAAAAGTTAAACAAAGTATTAAGAAACGGGAAATTTTCTTAAAAACACAGAAAAATGTACTGAAATGCTATGTGATATCAATCCTCCTATATAGCAGTGGATGCTAGACAAATTCCTCATAAATGAAGAAGAGACTGGAGGAAACAGAAATGTGGCTCTATAGAAGGATGATGAGAATATCATAGACGAAGTATGTAAGGAACGAGGAAGTAAAATGGAACCAGAAAGAACTCCCATGTTTAGAATCAAGAGAGAGTTGAAATTTTTGCAACACGTAATTAGGAAAGAAGGTTAGGAAAATCTGACACTCACAGTTCATATTGAACGCATGAGGGACAGAAGCAATGAAAGTTTAATTTACTTAATGAGCTTGTGTAAATGGATGGCAGAACATGTACTGGGAAAGATTAGTAACACATACATAAAATAAGAAATTGTGGAGGGCTATGATCGCACACGTCCTGAAGGGACACGGCTCATAGAAGAGTGTTGAAATAACAGTTTTACTCCATTTTTTCGTTTGCAAGCTCAACTTACGGTCATATCACGTTGAAATACTGGTTCCCATCCGATCACTCAAGTTAAGCAAAATCGAGTCTGGTCAGTACCTGGATGAGTGACTGCTTTGGAAGGCAGAAGAGATATGATTTCTCAAGCGTGCATCACGCGTTGTACTTAAAGAATGAATGTAGATCATTAATTAAATATGCAAACATTTCATCAGTGATCGCTGATTTGAGTAAAGTTTTAAAAAATAAGATTATATTAAAGGACAGTATGAGTCAGGCATCGATAATAATAATAATAATAATGGTAAATACTGCTTTATCTGATAAGAAATTTCTTTATGTGCCGTGTTCCTTCAGGACGTGAGTGATCATGGCTCTCCACTACTTCTTGTTTCTTGTTGCTCTAAGCAACGTTTGACGCTTTACCATCCCTCTTTGTCCCCGCTGTGCTATCCATCAACCCAAACTCGTTAGGTAGGTTAGTCTCCTCTGTCCAAAGCCCTTCTTTCAATATATAATGTGCGTGTTATATTTATTCAAGTCCTCTTTCCACCTAATGTATTTCATAAAGGCAAATATGGCACAAAGAGAGATTGGGCAAAAACAAAAGGTGGGTTTAAAAGTTAGATTTGATCTTTTTATAAGCCGTCGAAATCTTGAAGCTCGGTCGGTATGAACAGCATTTTGGGAATTTTCTGTTGGCTGAACTATGGAACCTTTTACTATTTCCCCCCTAAAGGAAAACTTTCAAATTACCCTGGTTTTATAAATGAACAGGATTTTGTTGTCTCTGTCACTTTCTTCTCCTATTATCAGAGGAATCTAACTTGATTGTGACTTTAACATTGATAGCGGAATGTAGCTTAAAAAATATTGCAAAGCCATCAATAACAACCAATAGCAAAGTTTAACAAACGTTATTGTTGTTAATTCTCGAGAAAAAAGAAAATGTATAAGTCCATTTATCTATGTTTGGTCTTTATTAAAAATCTAAAAATAGCATTTTTAAAACAATAAAATTTGCCGAAGAGGTCGTCAGTAATAGCGGTGTCAAGGAAAAGGCGTCTTTTTTTGATACACCGTTTTTTTTTTCTTTTGCAGGTATGTTTGTTAAATTTTGCCTATCAAACAGATTCTTCTGACAATATCAGAAAAAAAATCTCCTGCGACTATATCTCGTTTTCATTTATAAAGCCCAGCTAATTTGAAAAATCCACTTACAGAAGTGACGTGGGCAGGTAGCATAATTTATCCAAGAGAAAACTCACGAACATGTTCAAAAAGAACCTGCGTCTCAGGGAGGGCTTATTGTTTCGTTCCGATTTGCAGTGTTCACTCATTGTCGTGGATTTATTGCCTGACTAAAGTTTAGATAAAAACTAACGAAAAAATAAAAATGTAGGAAAATGTCACCATCCTTGTGCCCAAAGCCCGTGGGTGTCAACAACATCTTGGATAATCACTCTCCAGTCGGATTATAAATAGTTGTACAACAGCTATGGATAATCTATCATGTTTTTGTTTTACAGGCATAATATCTGCATCCAATGTCTCGCTATCTTTGTACCGCTTTAGGTAGCTGAGTTTTGAATTCAAAGTTTTCGTTCTCCTAGACTGGCTGCCAACCACGACTAGAAAACCCAGTCTATTTTACTACTATTTAACCGATAGTTAGGGAGAGAAGAGATCGCAAGGGTATTTGTGCGAAAGTGAATGTATCGAAAGTCGGCCTGAATTTGAACTGTTTGTCGATTTCTCGTTCGATGCTGCATTACACCACCTGCACACCCTGAAGTTAAGTACTAACAAGAAATTAAGATGAGGGAAAGTACTAATCAGAAATTGATAATAATAGGTGCTTTTCTGTTGGTTTTTACGTAATATTCGGTGCGATGACTTAGTTTTTACTATATTACAATATTCGCTTTTCATTGCTGAGGGTGGTCAGGAAAAGGGGATAGGTTCTAAACACCCCGGATGTTTTCTTTGTGGGCTGGATCTGTGTATTTTGGCGCACGACGCCTGTTTTTACAGACGTTGGAATCGGCAGTAACAGATTCCTGCCTAGTCATAATGCCCCAAACGTTGCCAAAGTATTGCGTACCCCGGGTATGTTCTGTCGGCAGGTCAGGTAGAAAAAGAAAGCAACATGGTACACAAAAAAGTTCGATAAAAAAAATAGTTTTATTTTTGTGGCTGCTCGAGTCTATTGAAAATATGTCGTCGACTAAATATTTTTGTGTGTCGTGTCCCTTCAAGGCCTAAGCGAACATTTCTCTCCACAACTTCCTGTCCTTTGTAGTCCTGAGCAGTGTTTGTCCCTTTACTAGTCCTTTCATCCATTTACACGATCTCGATAAATAGGTTTCTCATCATTTTAATTTGTCAATCTAGACTAGAAAATAAAAGTGGGTTCTCTTTCCGTCGCACAACGTTAATTTATCAATCACTTTGTCAATCATTAATTTGTCAATTTATATTAGAAAATAAAAGTGGTTTCTCTCTGCAGAGAATTTCATACATAACTGAGTACATTCATACACTTTATATATATTTATACTGGTTTGTAAATATGAAACACTATAGGGATTTTCGAATGTAGCTTAGATGTGGCACAAAGCCGAAGGTATGAGGCACCCAGTGAGGATCGAACTCACTACTCAGTCCTAATTGTTCTAACGAGGCAAGCTTGCTAAATATTACACCGCCTCGAGGTGCCCAATCTGAGACTACATGTTGATTTTCTAAGCGTAGCTTAGATGTAGCACATGGCCGAAAATATGGGACACCCAATGAGGATCGAACTCATAATTGAGTCGTAACTGTTTTAGCGAGACAAGCTTGTTAACCATTACACCACGCCGAGGTGCGCAAAGATTTTCTAAGCGTAGCTTATATGTGGTACAAGGCCGAAAGTGTGGGGTACTCAGTGAGGATCACTATTCAGTCGTAATAGATCTAGCGAGACAACCTTGCTAACCATTACTCCAAGTCGAGGTACCCAATCTGAGACTCTATATATGTATAACCATAGATGCGAATACCACGCGTTTGATTTTCATCTCTTTTGTTTGATTTTCATCTCTTTTGTTATACTGTAAAAAAAATATGTTTATTGAGTAAATCATTTGAAAACATACGATGTGCTTCCCTAAAACTTCACTGAGTATAAAAATCAGGTGCAAACCTCATGTTATATGAAATTTTTGTGAGCATCTTTGTAAAAAGGAGGCAAGGAAAATCTTCGAAAAAAATAGTGGAAAATAGAATGCCATTGATTTTCTTGATGAAATTCTCTGAAATCTTTGAGAGTAGCCTGTCTGCACATACACTCAACACATTTTTTTTGTCTCGAGACATAAATACGTACGTATCAAACAAGAGGTTTATTTTTTATTCTATTCAATGGTTACCGAGATTTCTCGAAGAACATTGGTCTTCATATTTTATGTGACATGTCACTCCAGAACGTTAGTGATTATGGCTCTCCACAACTTCCTATCAGTAGCTCTAAGTAATATTTGTCGCTTGGGAATACCAGGTGTTGTAAGCTTGGATGAGTGGGTGGTGTAATGGATAATGGCTTGAAATTGGAACTCGGCTCTAAGGCTGCTAAGAAATTAAGCCATAATCTTGAAAGGATCACAAGCAGAATATATTGACATGATATGTTTAAATTATAAAATAGGTGTCACACTGATTCTCTTGTTTGCCTATGTACGATTTCATGTAGAGAAAATCCAATAGTTGAAAAATTTTATATTGGCAGTAACAAAAATTCCTTTAAAAAGAGGTAGTATCAGCACATATCATCTTTCAACAACAATGCGTACCGTAACAGAACATCCTTTTCTAAATATTTTTGGCATTTCAAAGAAAGTAATAAAACTCCTACGGTAAAATGGAAAATATTAAAAAAAAACAAAAAAAAACTAGAATTTGGAAATCCTTATATGACCCAGGTCCTTTGTGTTTACAAGAAAAGCCGCATATTATAAAGTTTCCTAACATTAAAGTTCTGATAAACGAAAGAAATGAATTAACGATATTATGCCGGGATTGTCTTTCACCTTAAAATATAGTTGAGAATTTTTCATAAATAATTACGCATTACAAGTACATAGCTATTGTTTTATTACTATATAATGGTCCACCCAACATTTATTTGATTTTTTCCAATTCACTATTGCCATGTTTTACCGTCAATTCAATATAATTAGCATCGTATATAAATGTTCCAATTTTTTTAAACTTTACAATATATATTGACTCCTTTAAGACGTTTCCTGAGTATATAAAAAATTTTGAAAATTTAAAAAAATTCTGTTCAAGTAACTTTATGTCTACTTCAACAAATCTGAACTTTACATTTGGATACACGCAATATTTTGTCGCTGATATGTCCAGAGTGTAAACTTATCATGACATGAATTAATAGCCAAACTACCTCCACCATCTGACCCTATTTTTTCATTTTAGCTTAAATCTGACTTTTAATTGGTTAATTAAGGCATGCCCACCAGTATATATCTTAATTCTGACCTTAGTCCCCAGCAACATTTTAATTTCAAAAGAGGTATCGATTTGTGTTTAAATTTCCCAAATAAATCATTTTTGTCATAAGTTATCTACCATTGCCCGAAGAGGAACCATTATATTTCCGAAACATGAAAGTTTTTCTGTAGCTATGTGAAATGTTTTTATTGTAATCTGTTATAATAAAAAATATTATAATATTTTGCTCTATTTTGTAATGAGAACATTTTAAAAATTAAATACTAAAAATTGTGGATTCTTACTCGATCGGTTCTTTCTCTTATCCACTGTTCTTAGTATTTATATTTTTACAAAAGTGCTCAATACAATGTAGAGCGAAATATTATAATATATTTATTATAATATTTTATATCGTTACACAAAATATCCGTGTTTCAGAACTGTAAAAATGATCCCCCGTCAGGCGATATGATGAAAATGATTTACTTGGGAAATCAGAAATTACATCGTTAGCTTTTATTTGGGAGTTAAAAAGGAGTGAGAAAAAACAAATATCCTAAATTAGAAAAAAACAAAAAAAAAAAAAAAAACATTTGTGGGCAACTCTTGGTTAACTATCAAAAGAC